ATAGCATGACTATTGGTGTAAATCTGAAGATAAGATTGAATATAGTTAACCAAACCTTTTGCCCCTTAGCTATTCATGGCTGGTGTCGACTATCATCTGTCTAGCTTCTTAACGGAACTTACATAGAGGAAAGTCGAGATTAAAAAAGAAAAGAGACAGACAGTGCAAACTTATAGGTCTACATTTTTTTAATTGCAGCGGAATAAACCTTAAAACATTCTAACGGTATCAGGGACCATACAATCAAGTAATTTTTGATTCCACGGAACTACTTTGATCCAAAGCAAATGGACAACAATTACCGTTGATATTCAAACATAATTACATTCTGGTTGTTCGTTTTTAACATAATTTCACGTACAAGTATTAATAATCATTAAACCTATTTCTTAATTGGTTATGATTAAATTTACTAAATGACAGAAATAGTTAGTTTCAAATAAACTACAAAGTTTAAACATGTTTTTATTTAATCTGTTGAAATAATTCATTCAGTAAATGTTATTTATTTATATTCACAACCCGTAGTAAAGTATTCTTCGGTATTGTCCATCTAACATCACTAATATATATGACTCCATTCATTAAGTAAAACGTTATACAATAGCAAGAAACAATTAACACATGCAAAAACAAAAGCGAAATTAATGTCACATTGGAAGAACTAATGAGCCATACAAGTAGTTAATATTTAAATGAAGTTTTATTATAAAAATTAACATAAATTCCACTTTACATGGTATATAACATAAAAGGTACCACGAAGTCCATATGATCCCAAATATATTAAAACTGGAAAAATATCTTAAACCAATAAAGCAATATACATCTCCTTTCATTACTATATAGCCTAATGTTGCAAAAGAATATACATAAAGCGATAAATCTGGAAAATAAACCATTTCTATGTTAAAACAGTTTGAAAATGTCTGGTGTAAAAATCACCCATGATATGTGATACAAGTTAATTATCGTTATTTATCGTATATAATACTTTCATATGTCTCAATTTTAAGTAATTATCGGTAAATCGTTCGATATCCGTGGCTTTATAAAATATTTAATTATAATTTCCAGTGAGAAATAGAAAAGTATATTGTAACATACCTGCAAATGTATCCATATGAATAGGATAACAAACTCTTTCGGCCAACTCTAATCTCTTTTCGTCACTTTTACAAAAATCTTTAACGTTTAGCATAATTTCTCTACACTCAACTGTTGGGTCTTTCCAGCTGCCGGCGAAAATCTCTACATTGGTTTCTTTCTCTCCGTATCTTGAAAATAAATCGTCGCTAATGTCGCCGTTTAGAACACCGCATAAACCGTATAATTTGTTGTATAAATCTGGCATGGCGTCGATATAAATACGATTCATTTTATCCCAAAACACAGTAAGACCATTGGGCATATCCACCTAATCGACAATACAACAAACCTGTTACTTTTATACGCGTAACGATAAATTATGATTAACTAAAATTTATAGTATCATTTGTATTATAATATATTATAATTCATTCGTAAGTAATAAATGACACGGAGTTTGAAAATATTTATTTCTATATCATTGATGAATTCTTATTAATATGAATAAAGTATTGAATATACGAAGAAGCTGTTTTTAAATATTTTGTTGTTCAGTTAGCAACTTTTTCGACTAGGTAAAATCCTTTAGCGTCATAACTGTTAAGTTTATAAATATTTTGTATACTAATCCTGAGATTGATGTGAGTTTATTTTTGTCATCATTTTCATTTGATTATGTAACACTGCATAAGAAATACAGCTGTGTAATGTTTTTAGTGTAATTTACTTCTACAAACTTTAGACAGCCGGATAGTCCCATGTAAATAATTTGTTGATTTTTAAACAAATTCAAATCTTTATTACTATATACTAAAACAGAGAGAATAAAAACTAAGTTCATAATAGTAGCCAAGTCATGATATGTATCGTTACGTACTCCACGTGTACGTATTGTTACGTCTAGCGTGTCTTAACATATTAAATTCTATATCATCTACCACGTACAGTACTTTAGGTGTTATAGAACTGCCGTCTGGCAAATATAAATTTAAATATGCTTTAAAGGTTAAAAAAGAAAAACAGTAAATTAATTACTTTTTTCTCTATCAAATTTAAGTGAATAAATACAGTTATTTAAATTATTTCGACACATTTGTTTTTCATATCGCTTCTGGCATAAAAAATATATAAAGTAATACAGTGGTACCTCGGTATACGTCTGCTTTAGAATACGTCCAATACGGAATACGTCCTCTTTGGACGAAACAAATTTTGCTCGGTTTACGACTTTTATTCGGTTTACGATTTAATTCAATTATACGCGCCAACAAGTAGCACTATCAGTGTATTAGACCGGACTAGACGTTCGCAGTGCTATGGTTTATAACTTTCTTAAATTTCTTCTGATTTTAATTTGTAAGTAACATTTTATTATTTTCATTAATCATGAATTGCAAAAGGGCAACAGAAAAATAAAAAAATGACTGAAATCACAATGAAACTGAAAAAAGAGATTGTTGAGAAATATGAAGGTGGCATGCGTGTTCGAGATGTAACTGTTGCATACCGTATTCCGAGAACGACGATATCGACAATCGTGAAAAATAAAAGCATTATTAAATTTGCTAACGTTGCGAAAGCGAACGCTGCGAATCAATTACTAAACATAGATCGAAGACATTAGATCGTGTTGAAAAATTGCTTTTGCTTTGAATAACTGAAAAACAGTGTGCTATCGACAGCGTATCGGAAGCAATTATTTGCGAGAAAGCTAAAAAGATACACGCTGATCTCGTGAAAAATCAAGCAGGAACTAGCCAGGAAAGCGAGGTGTTTAAAACCAGCCATTTTTTTACATGAGAACGGATTAATCATTTTTACATTACTTCTTATGGGAAAGGTTGGTTCGGTATACGTCCTATTCGGTATAAATCCAAACACCAGAAACGGATTAAGGTCGTATACCGAGGTTCCGCTGTATTTAAAATAACAGTCAATAAATACAGTTATTACATTGAATTAGAAAGGTTTGAACTTGATTTTGTTTCCTTATTTTTGCTTTAATTCGATAACAATAACGATAATTATATGAAACCAAATCAGAGTTTACGCATTTACATCGGTGGAAAAACAACAAAAACTTTCAAATTTGAATTTCATTACTTGTTGAGTAAACGAATTATATTTTTGCCCTTTAAATTTTTGTTTAAAGTATATAAAGGAAAAAAGCGATGAACAATGCGTTCGTACTAAAACAATAATATCGTTATCTATTGTAGTTTAAGGAAACAAGCAGTAATTCCATAGTTTAAAACTGAAAATTACACTTTTTGTTGCAGTTATAAATTCGAATAAACTTAGCAAAAAATAGCCCACGGTATTCAAAATGTTGGCAAGAATTTCTTAAATAGCGGACAAATCGAAAAATATTAAGCTAGCATTTGCAAAAGAGCGGAGGTGTTACTCTATTACTGGCAGAAAAGAGCACTTTGACAAAATAAGACACATTTAGTTATTAGAAGAGGCGGCTCAGCTAATTTGCTACAGCCAATCAATGGCACGCGCTTGCAACACATAAACTCTTTTATTAATTTTTAACAGGTTTTAATTTTCTTTTATTATTCTAATAGAGTGATAGTACGGTTTTGTTATTATGAGAGTGATCATCGCAGACCATGTATGACTTCGCTTCTGTAACAAATGATTGATGAATAAAATAATCATCAACACAAGGAAAAGTTTAAGCTTTTCTATTGAACTAAAATAATTTGTAATCACTTGAACTGAAATAACTGCTTAAAAAATTTACATTTACTCTGAGAAAAAACAATGTATTGATGAAAACTTTAATGGGAGTTATTGCGATTTTCTGATTTATCGAATTAAGAATAAATTTTTTAAGGTATTTTAAGAATTTTACTCTGTATGAACGTACACAATTTCGTATCGCATTTATTTATAAAAATAACTTAAATTGAAAGTTAAGTACCATACGACAATTATTTATCCATATTCAGGTTTCAAATATAATCTGACTTGTAAACTGAGAAAAATTACAACCGAATTACGTTCCTTAACGCTACAATAATTAACTCGCAAAATTTAAAATTTTTGATATAGACAATATATAAAAACGTCTTCTTTGTCCCTTTGCACGCAAATGAGGAAATTAACAGTTCCATAGCAGAGTCGAACTCTTCTTAGAGGCTACTCGTAAGCCTCAACATTGTCTACCGCCTATATTATGAACTCTCTTAAATTTTGTAAGTTTAATCTTATTTGTCCTGGCCACTTTTTTATTAAATCACAATAATAGATGAATGAAATGTATAGGAACACTTATTCTTTTTATATCTGCAAAATATATGAAATATTTTTCTTATTAAATTTTAAAGTAAAAATATTAAAACCTAAATCTTGATAATACACTGCAATTGCTACATAATAAATGCGGTTGGTTAGGAATTGCTACCAGATTCTTCGTTATGTCTTTATACCAGATAGTATTTTTATATATTATATCAGAGAAAAGAAAAACAGAAATTACATTTATCCACATACATTTTTAATTCATAAGTAATTATTAACAAATCTTATAATTTGAAAATATGAAAAAAATTTAAATAGTGAAACGTCGATCCCTACCTTTATGAAATGTGATAATTTATCGATTAATACCTCCTCTCCTATGTAGGGGATAGTTTCCTCTTCGTTGTTGACATAGATCTATCACCAAAAGACTTACCAATAAACTTAATGTCGTATTTTAAATTGTTAAAAGAAGAAAGAAAACTGACCTCGAAACGCTTTAACACGAATACATCTTTCTTGTATCTGATCACTATGGCCTTGGTACAAGTGGCTCGATTGTCGGAAACGATACTACTGGACAGGTCGCTACACTTCGTTTTTTGTTGCAGAACATAAAATTCCTTATTATATACTAAGAAATAAGAACAAGAACCCATAAACTCGTATCTCTGGCCATCGAACGTGGTGTAATGTTTGTTTCCCGATACAACGCATCGCGCCTCGCAAGGCCTGTTGGTGCACAACCATTTTCCTTTTATACAATCACTGCGAATAAAATAAAAGTAATAATCAGTTATGCTTTTTATATAATTACTAATAATGAAATTAATAGGAAAATATGACTACCTATTAATAATTACACGTTACAAATTAATTTAATTGTACAATTCTATAAACAGTAGGTATCTATTTATTTCTTGGTAATAAATTATTGGATAATTTTATAAATTGTGCCCACTGGATGCAAAAATTATAATATTGAAAAATGACATCCTGACGTACAAAAATAAAAATTTTTGAGGCAGAGCTTAACCCAAGCCTCTTCTGTGTGGCTTTCAGAATTGCCTTTCTTCTCAAACTTCGATGGAGATAAAGCTTTGCGTTTTCCATTATTTGCAATGAGGAGCTGACAATGTAATTAAAGATGAAGTTCGTCATTTCGTTTTTGATATAAAGTGGGTAAAAGTACAATATCCGTGCTCCTGAGGCGATTAACCGCTCCGAACGGAATAGCGAAACAGAAATTTAAAAATAACTAGCATAGCGCATGCTAACGAATCATGGGCGCCGAAACGAACAAAACACAAGAACAAAGTAATCGACGTCGATTCCTTTGATCACGGATCGCTTCTCCTTGGTTGGGAGATGCCAAGATGGCCTCTTTCTTTCCGGCAAATTCACGCCATGTCCTATTTCAAAACTCTGCAATTTAATAGCGAAAAGTTACAGAGTGTATATTGCTACAGTAACTGTTCATACCTACATCCAATTACATTTTCTTCTATCCAAACAGTTAGCAATATATATCCATGTAACCTTTAACTATTAAGTTAGATACAGCGAATATATATATTTGGGTAATAGTGGCTAAAGTGGGTATAGTGAAGACCGAAATGCATACCACAAAATAATTAGTCCACTCTTTTAGTTGTGATCGCGATTTTTTTGTCTTTGTTGTATAGTTTGTTGAGACTCTATCTTCTCCAATTCGTTATTTGAGACAATTATTTAATATAAATTAATCATACTTTTAAAATATATGCAATACAGCGGAAACAATCTTTCAAAACAATAAAAACGGAAACCTTTAACATTGTTAATTTGTTTTAATTTTCGACTGCCTTTTATCACGGACAAACACCTAAGGAAACACAGAGCAAAAAAATATTCTTTATTTTTGAAAGCAAGCTATGCATTTCGAGTAATTTTACAGAAAATGTTCTTCTACACCCGTTCTGGCTGTAAACGTAAAAATATACAATCTCAAACTTTACAAATTTCGATGATATTATTACGAACTTAGAAATAACCCTTTTTACCATTTTTCGATCCAACATCATTTATCAATCGACATTCGTATATACGTGGGTATTTATTTCGATATCCCACTATGAGCCCTCTGTTTCCATTCCATTGTTTAAATGAATAGTGTTATTTGCGTGTTTGAATGCGACATGTTCTTTAAATGTACATAAATACAAACCTTTTTCTGTATAAAGAATATCTGCATTAATATGTTAAGTAGGCTAAACATTAGCACCATGTAAAAACAAAAAAATATTACACTAATGAAATTAGAAATCCGAAACGTACAATTAGATTAAAAATTCGTAAACCTGGAGATAAAAGACATCCATTAGTAGAATTTAGAGAATATATTTTAAATAACTTAGAATTATTTATTTAAAAAAAATAAAATATATACCGGGTTCACCTATAAATATTTCAGCTAGTAATATTAAGACTACATAAAATAGATATTAAACCAATATATAGAATGCTTAGAACGTCAGCCCTTTTAAGCTAGATAAGCTAAGCCACCTAGTTTAGTGCGGTTTAATCAACCGAAACCTAGCTCAGCTTACTTCACATTTTAAGAGGCAGGTTCCTATTATAAGAATGATCCGTGCGCTCCCCTCCAGACATCAGTTCACTTCTCTGCCCTAGAAAATTGCGCGTAGGTAATGTAAGCTATAAATTACATAAACTCTTCCCGAAATTAATTAGTTAATAGGTTGTTATTTAAATTTATTCTTTTTTAAGGATCGCTTATTTTGAAATATTTTGTTACCTTCGTATGTTTATATTACTTTAGATTTAATTATATAAATGTCGTCATTCTTTTCTAATAAATATATCGTTTAATCATTATCTCGTTCAATTCTTTTATATGTAACTCCATCGTCTTACGTTAAAACTAAACCCTCCTATGAACTCCGGAAAAAATTTTATACTTTCATTTGTTTCTTAGTCCGCAGAACTAAGTGACATTTTTCTGAGAAAGGTGAGGTATTGACGTATTATCATCTTTCAACGATTAATAACGGTCATCACCCACGTCAGACGGAGTGTACCGGAGACCTCGCATCTAAAGTAATAGCATTAATATAAGTTCATATTTAAAATAGTGTTGCAACGTACATAAAACTAAGTTTTAAACCATACTGTACTTTAGCAATTCAAAAGATTAATAATATGGTAACGGCCTTATTCGAGATTTGGACTAGAAAAACAAAATTACAAGAACGGATTAAGGATCAAGGCGAGTTGTTATACAGATTTTTATTAAACGGCTACCCCGGCCGGTTAATGAAAATTATAAGCTTAATGTCAAATATAGAGATGAAAATAATATATGTGTACTATTTCCTTATATAAAAGGTTTATTTAAAAAACACAAATATAAATTTAAAAACTTCGGAATTATTTTCGCTGTTAACCTGAAAACTTAAATTAAATATAAAATAAACTTGGTAAAATAAAAAAATGATAACTATAGAAGCTAGGATAGTCTACAATTTAAATTGCAGATGCGTAAATCCTGTTAATTACATAGGTAAAACCGGGATAACATTGAGAATTGGAAATCGTGAACATCAAGCCTCAATTAAATTAAAATTTAAACAGTCTTCGTGGTTTAAACATTGTCAGGACTTTCGACGTGCTATCGATAGTAATAATGTAAAAATTATTTATACGCAAAAAGATTTGTATTTACGAACTTTTAAAGAACATGTCGAGATCAAACATGCAAGTAACATTATTAATTCAAACAATGGAACGGAAACAGAACGCTGGTGATAAGATATATAAATAAATACCCACATATATACGAATGTCGGTTGATAAATGATGTTCGATCGGAAAACTGATAAAAATAAGGTTAGTTGTAAGTTGGTAGTAATATTATTGAAATTTTTAAATTTTGAAATCGTATATTTTTACGTTTACAGCTAGAACAGAGGGTGTAAAAGAACTTTCTTGTAAAATCATCCGAAATGCATAGCTTGCTTTCAAAACTAAAGAATATTTTTCTGCTCTGAGTGTTTTTTGTTCTTTGTCCGTGATAAAAGGCAGTCGAGAAGTAAAACAAATCAACAATTTTTCAGGTTTTAGTTTTTATTGTTTTTAAATTAGTCAGCTAGAGTTTAATTGCTTCTTCAAACTCTTGCTAGACATTCCAACTCCCTGGAATTCAATTATTACCACATGTGAACGCTTTATTTAGCTTCGGAACTTCATTAACCCGCATTGATTTCACTGGTTCCCATTACGAAAGAGCCACTCCAAGTTAGCGTTGAAGAATATGAACAATTGCAAGCAATTGCGGATGCTCTGCACCCATTCGAGTTATTTATCAAAGCGACGTGCCAAAGAGAACGCTCGTTTGGAATCTCGTATGTCCATTGAAATTGCACTAGTCGTTCTAAGGGAAATGTAGTCGTCATTGTTTACACTATTTAAAGGATCATATCCTAAGAAAATTCAAGAATATTTTTTCTATTGTATAGCTTTCAATTATATCTGGAAAACAAGAAGTTAGTTGGCAACCCAAAGTATTTTATACTTCTTACTCAAAAGAAAAGTCTTGAGTACCGAAATATTATAGTGGCTCGCTCGTGCAAGTGCAACGATTCTGTCGGCAAAATCGATTCGCACGAATTTTCAACGACATCGTCACTCAATCAACTTGGAAAGAGACCGTTAAAAAGTGATGGAAGGAGTGAATTTTTACGCAAAATCGAAAGAATAACGACAAAAACAACCAACGGAAAAAAGAATTTGGTTTAGGATGTCAGTAAAGACGAACATCTACGATTGAACTGGTCATAGTGGCATAATTTTGGTAAAGACGCTTGCTGTTATATATCCGGTCAAGTTGTATTCATTATAAACGAGCTTACTCGACTGCCGGTTCCTTTTTATAGGTTTTGTATAATAGACTTCGTACACTTTTAGCAGATAAAACACTGAATTGTCTTTGCTTGCTGAAATCCTATTTTGTAATAGAAAAGAAGGTGGTATTATGGAACACTGCTGGTATTTTGGAACCATCCCATTTCGAACTGATAATAAAGGCGAACTGTAGCGGAATGTGACTGAACTGAACTAGGCAGACATCCATAGCGAGGGGAAAACTCGTTTTACTTCAGTTAAACGGCTGTCCGCATTTAATCAGCAAATTTGTTTATTTCAAAATTCCCAAGTTTTGAATGCTAAGTGAATTTAATTATTTTAAAAATATAAATCGCGTAGTTGTAGGTTCACTGGTGCACGTATTCCGTTCCAGAGGCTTAGAGGTACATATTAATCTGTGCGATGTTCCCATTTTTTGAATTTTGGTCTCGACAGACATAAGTTAATTCGAGATGGCGATGCAAGAAATACGGATCCCATTGGCGCTTTTACAGTAATATGGAACTCGACTCCTCCGAACCTTCTATTTGCAAGAAGACATTCCTCCAGAGCAATATGTGAAAAGACACTAGGTACAAAGCCAATTCTTCCCGAGAATATCGAAAAAGAGCTGCCGGAATATATATTGTTGATGGAGGTCATATTGCTCTGTTATAAAAGCATTTTTGCGATAAAATACATTGAAGTAAATAATTTGGTAATTATTTAATATTTTTTGTCCTTTCCTATTTGTTTTTTGGCTACATTAAAGCCTTTTATTGAAAATATACAGTAAGGTTCCATATTACCACCCGATTTTCTCTAAGCTTACTTTCTGACTTTTTGTACAAAAGTCTTCAAAAACCATACTTATAGTTACACCAGCGAAAAATCCAATTAGGAACATTTAGTTTAATAGTTACCAGTACTTTTCGCACAAAAAATGTGGGTGTATTTATGATACTTTGTTTACAATTCACTAAAATGTAATTGGGGTTCCATAATACCACTTTCTCCTCTATACATTTAAAATTAAATATTATTTTTATTCTTATGTTATTTAATACAGTTTTAAAAATTACAAATTTATCGATAATTAATCGATAATTTATATTTTTAAACATATCCATGATTTTGCACGCCTATCCGACATCCCATTTAATATTTTAAAACCCACCGTCAGGTACGTTTTCATTTGAAATAATTTTGTAATTGACAATCCTGCTGTATTTCAATTATGGGCTGACATTACAACAGCCCTGTCTGACAGAAAACAGAAGGCAACGAAAGTTCGAAAGTAATTTAGCGCACGGCCGACATAAGATATATCGGAAAATAATCTACAGTGATTACATTATTAAATTGTAAGATAATTGACTGGAAAAGACTTTTGCTACCACCCTGTACATTTCTCATTGAATGATAAATAATATTCTGCTGTTGAGTTTACGAAAGCTTTTGCTCTTTTTGGACCATATTCTTCTCTAGTTGGGAAAATTCGAATCGCTGTCACATTACATCGTGTTGCCTATGGTCTGTTAAGACAGATACATTTTGGCATATTAACGCTGCACATTATGTTATAAAGTAAATTATAACTTATTACAAATTTTAAATATCCAGGTTATTGGATGAAGCTAACCCTGATATATTTGCATTGTGTTTGCTTCAATTATCTTCTCATTAATAAACTAAGTTAATCAAAATAAACAAAATACTCTATAATATGTTTATTACAAACATACACAAAGCGAATTTGAATATTTAGAGCTACAACTGGAACAATTTTCGATCTGTTTACGTAGGCCATATTCAAAATAATGTGAAGTCGGTAAGAGGGGAAAAATAAAGAACGGCGAAACACTTAGAATATGTATTTTAAATGAGGAACATAAACTACAACGTTAGCAAAAGTATCGTTCTTATGAATTTTAAACATCCGTTAAAAAATACTTACAAATTGTTTCTTACGTGTGTTATAGAAACAAAATATGAAGATTCCTCGTATCAGTTTCTAAAATTAATTGTAAATATTTTACGTCACAATGACCAAAAACGCAAAGTTAAAGTTCAGAAATCAAAAGATCGTAAATAGTAGTAACTAAAACACTATGAAAATAATTATACTATGTATCACCATAATGCTTTTTAACATTAAATCAAGTTTTGTATTGTTTTACATTATGTTCACATAATTCTCTAATTTGAAGCGAAAGATTCAACATATAGATAAAGAAATATTTTAAAAAATACCATTCATTGCAATCCTGAATTCTTCTTCCTCCGGGAGAATATTCTGCATCTTCAAAAATACAGGGACATTCTTCTTGGAGGACACATATGTTATTGATCGCATCGAGAACTTTTCCTTCCGGGCAAATGCACGAATCAACGCAAGTTTGATCGCTGCACAAATAAGTAGTTCCTTGACACGTTTTTGGGCATTCCCTACCGCATTTTGCCGGTATCATCCCTTCGGGACATTCAATGGCTAAAAGATAAAGAACAAACAGTAAGATAATTTTATTATAGTATTTAACATTTGCATATTCTTAAATCTCTTAATACTAATAAAGTATTTTCAAAACAATACGGCGAGATCTATCAGTACATTATCATTTTTATGTTAATAACACAATATTAAAAATAACCAAATAAGTTAATTATTTTATAGGTGACCAGGCAAAAAGTATCACTCTAGCTACCGAACAGTGTATATATGAGTTAAAAAATGAATCGTCATGGCAATAACCAGTTGTATGTGAGAGAAAAGCGTAGCCAAATTTTTCATTTCGTCTGTTCGTCGAGTTAAAAAGAAATTTCACGCAAACATCATCAAACGGTCAACACGAAACTGTTGTACAGGATATTGTTGTGAAAAACTATTCAAAATTTGCACCAAATAGTTGTAAAAATGAAATGTAAATCCACTCTGCCTAAAACATAGAGGACAACAGAGCAACTAGTTCGAATTTTAATAATTAATAATAATAAAACAATATATTACAATTGACCATACATGTTTATTTATTACATTTTTTCGTCTTACGTACAGTACATTAAAAGAGCGTTTGGATGACATTGACTAGTTTGGCCAATGTGGAAAATCCGTCCGCACCACATCATCTGGGGTATTTCCATTTCAAAATTTTTTAATTGAAACGGAGTCAATCCGAAATCCACCCGAAGCCAGATAAGCCTTTCAACGGCTTTTTCCTGCACTTTTACCTCCTTAAATAACCTTGGTAAACAGAAGTCGCGTTACGCAATAATTTTCAACTTTACGATAAATCAGGAACAGGTCAAAAATGTAACAGCCTTTGTCATTGGTTTGCTAGTCTTGCCGTATTAAAGCCGCTTTATCAGACGACGACTTTTGACTTTTTAGCTACCATTTCGACGTACAGTACATATACACTATACACATATATTTCTGATAGATTGATTAACGCTTATATTACAAACGTAAAATATATTTATGCTAGAAACTTTATTTTTAAAAGACTCTTGTTAATTCGACTAACCTATTGTGAAAATCTAAAACGAATGAAAAACACCCGATGAAGACTCCGTCAGAAGCCAGTATCTGTCAACTTTATAAGTCGAGTGTTTACTTACGCTTTCTCAGTGTCGATAGCGATACCTTTTCCTGGACAATAATCGCTTTTAAGGAATTCGCACCTTTAAATACGACGAAGACGGCCGATTCTTGTCGGTCGTCGCCCGTTCTTCTAACTGTTTGGATCGGTGTTAAAGGGCGTATTCAAAATCTGAGCGCGGAGCCAGCACCTCTGTTCAAAATCTCAGACAACTTCCGGCTGGAATCACACTTACAAAAAAAGAAAGCTTACGTAACCGTAATGGGAATTTTCCGTTCGGCGTGAATTCCGTGTTTCGCATGTAAAATCGTAAAACAAAAGAAAAACGAAATAAAAAAAAATAACAAACCTCTTCGCCATCTACCGGGCCAGTTCACGTTACTAGAAGAGATGTAACTATCAGCGGAGGTGTCAGAATGGCAGCTGGGCAGCTCACGCGGTTTGTCGTTTTCAGCCTGAAACAGCACAGTAGCGACATCAGTGACGTTGTAAACACGTCATTATTCCCAATAATCTGATTGGTCAACATCTACACTTTACGTGACTACTTCACGTGATCACCAGAAATTTTTCCACTGCGCGCATCTCGAGTGGATTATCCACAAATTTTACTGGTGAGGGACGTAAAATTTTTGTGGTTTTGGCTTTCAGTATACGTTTTCAGTTGTGTTTTTTTATAAGTGTGACTTCAGCTTAAGCGTTTTATCAGTGCTCGCTACGTCAGCAAACAAGATGGCAGCCACTACGACGGCGGTAAGAATTCTATTTTGCGTTAACAATTTTGAATTTAATTTAGTTGTTGACGAATACACACTGAATAAATTTGGTCAGTACATTAATACATTATTTTAATATACTAGTATATCTACGTAACACAACATATAATTTGTTCTAGTTGTTAAAGAGTAATCTTAGAATTTATTTTGTTTTTTAAAACACCTAAGAAATTAAAAAACTTTATCCCAATTTTTTTTCGAAATATTCATTTTTCAGTTGTTGTCATTAATTTCAATTAATTTGTTGTCATTAAATACGTTCAAAAATAACATTTAAATAACGTGAAACTCCACGTCATTAGCCATTTTTCTTCATTTTCTTTTCCCCATATCTCCGGCATTGGGCGTTTGTGTTCTCTCGAAAACTCCAGCAGTTGCGTCACATTCGGCGGAATGTATCTGGACGAATGCTGAAATTTTAAATACACCCAATCTGTGCATTCCTATTCTGTCGTGGCATTTACAGTTGTGGGCTTCGTCTACATTCTGCTTGAGTACCATCCGAGGCAAGAAGCATCGTCTTCCGACTTGGAAGCTCTACGTTTCGAGAACTTTCTCTCGTGCTTTTAACCGTATATTTATCAGGATTCTTAAAATACCGAAAGTTGTAAACTCCCTCTCTTCGCCAGGATAGAGCACATAACCGCTGATACTACGTCTTGCTTACCTGTGTCACATATTGTACAAACCGCGCAGTCAAACAAATGTTAAAGTGTAGTTAATTCCGTCGAGTGACTCTTTCCAACTAAATCTCGTCATTTGCTACCCCATCCTCATATCTTAGTTTCGCATACAAGACTGCGTTATTGCCATCCAGAAAAAACTCTCGAAAAGTTGAGTAGTAAATGTATCCTACTTGGTGTCGGAAATTAGCCGCTGCAATCCCTTACGTTCGGCGATTAAGAGGCTGCATAGACCTTATAAAACTCATACTGATGTCAATTAACCCAGCCGGAACGTTGCACTATCAAATATTTTAATCCCGAAGATAACTGCGAAAATAGCGCATAAAAGATCATTCAAAATTATAGATTTGGGTCTCGTTTGCATATTCAAAAGCGATAGTAAGGGTTCGAAGTTATCAAATATTGGTAATATTTGCTAAATACTGTTCAATGTTTAGTTTGTATTTTGCTCCATTTCTCCGGTAACTATTGGTAACACTTTCGACAACAATTAAAGTCAATTGTCCACGTGGATAAGATTAAACGAAACATTTGATGAAATGGATTATTTCACGTCTACCCGTATCGACTGACAATTCCATAAATCTTCTTTTGTATTTTTTTAGCACGTCAGAGAAATAACCGATTTCTTTTTAATTTAACATTTCAAATATTTTTTGATGACGACGTCCAATCTTTCTCTTATTCTTTTGAACGATGAGACACACTTTTTTCTAATTTAAATTTCTGGAAACAACTGTTCTTCGAACCATGTACAGAAAACAAATGTCATTTACTTCCTAGAATTAATTAACATAATTCGAGTTACCTCAGAATAAAAACAATTTATTTGATACAAATTCCCTTACAATTTCGCAGTGGGCTAAAATTAGACAGCGACCTTTTCCGGTAGGAATGTGGCCACAGTCAATGATACTGACGTGGTTCCGAGTGTTCATTTTTACCAATGTTTTCTCAAAATATATATCTTACAATTCTTCTTTATATTGTATCATTTGAATTAAATAACTACTTGTCTGCGCAAAAATTGCCAGTGATAGGAAAGTTTACGGCTTCTTTTTCTATAATTTAGTTGAAGCTTTTCCGTTCCGATATGATATTTCTATGATCTCTTCGTAACTGAAACATTTTTCTTGGCCTTTTCTTTAATAGCAGGAAAAATTTCTGTAAAGTATATTCGAATTAATTAATCTGCATCAATGTCCTAATTTAATCAAATTGTTCTTTCAAACACCATAACCGTGTATTTCTATTAATAGGACTTATTATACTGGTGTATAGAATTATAGCTACAGTCACACAGATTAAAATTGGTTTATTTATGATTACCTGTAATCATAAATAATCAGGTAATCATAAATAAACTAATCTTACAGGTAATCATAAATAAACCAATTTTAATCTGTGTGACTGTGTTGCTATAATTCTATACACCAGTATAATAAGTCCTATTAATAGAAATACACGGTTATGGTGTTTGAAAGTATATTAGAATTATTTGCACTAACTACGGACAAATGGAAATCCGCTACATCTGTAATAAACTTTACTTTTTTTCGAAAATTCAAATTTTCTTCAATAAATTCAGTTATCAACGTTTAAGAACCTTGGTAAACGAATCGGTTACTTCCTCAAATTCTTACAATCGTTCGTTAACACATCGATACCAGTTGCAATTTTGACATTTCGCACACCTTAGTCTCGGCTCCACCGTCCAACGTTTCGCCTCGCTTACACAAAAAACTTTTACTTTTCGTCCTTTTCCCGTATAAATAACGCCGGAAATATAATGACGTCGTTACAGTTTTAATTTACGCTCTCGATTTTTACTTCTGTCGAATTAAAATCTGTTTTATACTAATTAAATACAAGTTGTTTTCTTTTTCGATTATTAAATAACTTTAAGTCAGAAGATGGTATGAAATCGATACATCCGCGTTACATTTTCTATCAATAAATAGCTACTGTTTAAACTAGGTGAAGAAGTAGCATTGGTTGGGTGCCTCGACCAATACCACCCATCGAGCTTTTAGTTTATAAGGCAGCTTTTTTGCAAAAAGTACAGCGAGTCTTCACTTCACCCGTTTCCTTATAATGTGGTTGAGGGAAAATACAATTACCTCTATAATCACTTACAATTATTAGCGTTATTGAATTTTCCTTATAAACGGTAAAATTTGTTGCACGAGGTGAAAATAAACGCTAGTGGTACCAAAACATCCAATTTAAATAATATTAAATTAATTATATCAAATGTTTATATCATTTAGCCTATGATAAATTTGGTTTCCTTACACGTCGTTTGGCATAACGTTTCATAAACACCTCGACGACAACAAGTGAGGAATGACGAAAACATCCAGGAATAGCAATTTGTCTGTTTACCGATTTTGATCATCCATTCTTTCTGAGTCCAAATAGTATTCTTTA